GTGATGCCTTCACACTCCAGCTCCTTTCTTTTCTTCTCTTTTTCAGTTTTTATTTTTTGATATAGACCTCACTGTGATCATGCCTCTGTGTGCACTGAGGCACAGTGACATTTGCATTTGATCTTGTGTTTAGCAGGACTTTGTTCCTTGCCTCTCGTGGGAACAGGAAATTAGCACATGCAGAGATAGTATGTTTTGGTTCTTTGAATGGCTGAAATAGTTCCAATCATAGAGCTATTGAATGAATGGTAATGATTATTTTTTTTTCCTATTGGTTCATGTTGTTCCTAGATGGCTTCACACTATCTGGGTCTAGACCACACACACACACACACACAAACCTCCCAGCCCCTATTAGTAAAATCATGTCTATTGAGCTCACTGCTGAAGGCAACACCTATAATCCCAGAGTCAGACAACATTAACAAATATATTAGTCTGCTAAGGCAACCAAAACAAAATACCAAAGAATGGGTGATTTAAACACCAGAAATTAATTTTCTCACAGTTCTAGAAGTTGGAAGTTCAAGATCAAGGTGTTGGCTTGTAGGCAACCATCTTCTCACTGTGTCCTCACATGGCCTTTGCTCTGTGTGCAAGACCCCTGGTGTCTCTTCCTTTTCTAGTAAGGATGAAAGTCCTTTTAGATTAGGGCCCCACCTTTATGACTTCATTTAACCTTAATTACCTCTGTAAAATCACTATTTCTAAACATAGTCAAACTAGGGATTGGGTCTTCAACACATGAATTGGGGGAGACACGATGCAATCTATACATTCTGACATCTGCACCCCCACTTCCAAATTCATGTCCTTCTTACACACAGAGAATCATAGACCTTTAATCTTTAAGACACCAGGATTCCATGAAAAGTTAACTAGTATTTCCTGACTAAAGGATTCTCTGGTCAGCCAGATTTGGGAAACCCTGAATACTCTATTTCATTTTGGGGATTTATTAAAGGCTCTATTAAATCTTTTGCAACACAGAAATTTTTTTTCACTTTGTTTAACTCAATTTTCCCCAAACTTACTTAGCCACAGTTTACTTATTATTTTACAGAACAGTTAATAACGTCTAAAGGGGTGCCAGTGTTTTCTTGGACATTAAGAGAGAGGGATTCACTCCAGTTTTCCATAACACCATGATGTCTAATATATAGACTCATTACCAAGTAAGATTATTGCATTTTTTAGTCTGCTTGGACTACTCAGAAGTTTTTGGTTTTGTGGGTTGTTTTCTTTCCTCCCCATATTCAAAAGAACCCCATCTCTACATGGCTTCCTTACATTTTAATTCTCTACAAGGGAGCCCAGTGGTACAAGTCTGCTCTCTCTTTCTAAGTGGATCTCTTCAGATATGTGAAGGCAGCTCTGGAGCGCCTAGGAAGGTCTTTTTCTCTAGATGATGTAGGTCAGCTTCTTTAATATCGCCTTCACAGTGTGTAATCCTGCAAGTCCTCCCTGCCCTGACATATTAACATGGCATTACTGAGCAGCGGTGAAACCGCAGCAACCATGGACTTCACCACTTCTCTCCTCTGTTCCAGGCAGTGTTATCCTCCCAGCAGGTTCACGGTAAGCAAGACAGACAAGGACTCTACTCCTTGGAACTTACTTTCTTGTAGAGTAAAAAGAGTAAATAACCAAATGATATAATATAATGATTTCATGTGTTGACAAGTATTTAAAACAAAATCTATAGAGAATGACGTGGAAATGGGAAACAAATTAGATCGCGTGATCAGAGATGATGTAGTTGGACACCCAAACGATGAGAAGCAGCCAGTCTAGAGATTCCATTTTATCCAATTCCTGTATTACCCAAAATGGATGTTTTTTTTTCCTTAAAACATTCAACTTATAAATCAGACGAGCTCTAGCCAGTGTCTTCTGTGATTAGGGTAAATGTACTGAATTCTTTGCAAGATTGGATTTGAAATTTTTCTTTCTTAAATTGCCTTTTCTCCATGTTTCTTCTTATTTCCATTACAAGCTTTTCTTACAGTGATTTTAATTAGAGTCTGTGTCTAGAAGTTTATGGTCTCAAACATTCATTTAGTGTCTATTTATTGAACGTCTATGATGTACCTCACTTGTTATTATCTGACCTTGTTTTGGTCATTGTAGTCACAGCATTCATTACTACCTGCCATCACCTGTTCCTCTTTCCATATATTATTCATCTCTCATCACTAGAATGCAGGTTCCACAAGAATAGGATCTTGCCTGTCTTGTTTGGTTGCTTATACCAGCACCTGGCACAATGTATTGCACAGAGCAGGGACTGTTCAATAACTACTTGCTAAAGGAACAAAGAGTCCTTAGACAAAAGGCAGAGGAACACAGAATTCATCCAGCATTTGGGAGAAACAATCTGTTCCACATCAGGGAATTAAAAAAGAAATAAAGCTTACTTCACTAGAACTTAAAATAATTCAACCATTTTAGGTTGAATTTAAACTTCAATAAGAAGAGCAATTGTGAAGCGTTTAACACACTCTCCTCTACTTTTTCCCCAAATGACTCAGAATCATCTTTAAGTTGAAACCACTCTGTTGCCTGACCGAGCAAGGGCCCTTTACAGAGTTGCCTTCAGTGGCAAAGGCCACCAGGGAAATGTACCCAGTACAGCTGATGAGAACCTCTACCTACTTCCCTGCAGCTGACACCATCATGTCATCAATGGGAGGAACCTATCAATCCTAGTAGCGTCCAAACGTAACCTAAAACAGGATTTATCAGCTGATCAAAAGGCTTTACTCATTAAGGTCGTGCCTAAATACCTTAAGATGCCTGTTACCTAAATGTAGCATTTCCAGATCATACAGAACAAAATAACAGAAACAGGACTTGAAGAGAAATGACTGAAGTAAATGATTGGAGAAAAGAGATTTGAGTATGTATTGAGTAGAAGACAAAATATTCATCTTCTACTGTTAATTGTGAGTAAACTTCCTCTGTTTTATCATGAAAGGCTCTGATGGTTGAAAGCACGATGAATGTAGATTTTGATTCAAGGCAAGCAGTGCTTCCTGACAACCAGACTCCTTCACAGCGTTGTTCATACTTTATCGGGCAGTGAATTTCCCAGCAGTGTGAAATCCAGGCAGATGCTAGCCCATCAGGAATATTGTGGGAGAAGTCAGAGGTTGTGTATATGATCTCTGAGTCCTTAATCCAACTCAGAAAGCCAATGACTACCTGAATTAGGCTCTCAGTCAATGCATTTTGGATTTAATTGACTTCACTTTACCCAGGTTTGATATAATAACAAGGACAAAAGTAGTATACATAGCAATGCTAATTATATAAGTGTTATATAGCCTTTATTATCCTAGTTAAAATTCTCATTGTAGAGATAAAACAAGTTAGCCCAGAGAGAAGTTACCTTCCCAATGTCACTTCTTCAGTAGCCTCATTACCTGCATTTTCAATTCTGCTAATTGTTGAAGACTTGCAGGAATGGAGGGATTCAGTTTGGAAAATAGTTCTCACCATGCTGATGGGGATGTAAAATGGTACAGTCACTATGGAAACAGTACAGAAGTTCCTTTAAAAATTAAGAATAGAACTACCATATTATCCAGCAACCCTTGTTCTGGGTATCTAATCCAAAAAAGTTGAGAACATGTATTTGTAAAGATATATGCACCCCTATGTTCATTGCAGTATTATTTGCAGTGGCCAAGACATGGAAACAACCCGTGCCCTTCCTTAGATGACTGGATAAAGAAGATGTGGGACATATGCAGATGGAACACTACTCAGCCATAAAACAAGATGAAATACTGACGTCCCCAACAACATGGATGGAGCTTGAGAATATCATGCTGAGCAAAATAAGTCAGACAGAAAGTCAAAAACCACAGGATTTCACTCATATGTGGGATGTAAAACTGAGAACAACCAATGGACAAACAAAAACTCGTCGACACAGGGAAAGAGTGGAGGTAAAAATGGATACAGGGGGTCAAATATATGGTGACGGAAGGAGACTTGACTTTGGGTGGTGAACACACAGTGCAATATACAGGTGATGTTATACATTTTACACTTGAAAGCTGCATAATTTTATTAACCAGTGTCACCCCAATAAATGTAATAAAATTGAAAATGAAAATAGTCCTCAGATGTAGACGTGCGTGAGAATCACCTGGAGAATTAACACCGAACACACAAGCCCGTGCTCACTAAAATAGGGTAGGCCTGGGCCTCTCCACAAAGACTCGCACAAACCCAAGGAAGGGGGAAGCTGTAGGAGGAGGAGGGCCCCTCTTGCCAGCGGAAGTAGAGGGCACATTAGCTGGAAAGGTGATGGGGAAAGGAGAGTTGTATGCCCTCTTCTGGAAGCTGCTGGTTAAATCAAGAGCTCCTTAGACTAAGGTAGAAGAGACTGACATCTAGTGGCAACACAGCACACAGAAAACAAAGGCTTTTTCCACTGTTCATTTCCCCAGCCTGAAATGTAAAAATGAATTCATCTCCCTGTATTAGTCAAGATTTTTCAGTTTAAGTGACATTATAAATAGCATTAGGGAAAAAGGAACTTATTGACCAATGTAATAGTAATGATGAAATGGAGTAAGAATTGGGTATGCTGAAATCAGGGGGTCAAATGATATCAAAGCTCTGTCTCAAGCATGCCTGGCCCCCAAAACTCTTGGCTACCCTCCTCCCTCCTTCTATTAGCATGTGGGATTTTTTTCTCCCCTAATGCAGGTGGGCTTCACTCATGAATATGGGGTAGAAAGTCTCTAACTTCTAGCTGTGTGTATGTGTGTGTGGGGATATTTCCTCTTTTGCTCCTGTCTTTAAGTGACATTAGTGGGGCAGGGCCGGACCTTGCAGATAAGCCTGCAATCTGCAAAAAAATTAATTCTGGAGACTGTTAGGTAAGCTCACCTGATAACAGACCTTAGACCCAAGCACAACGAAAGCTGACTTTAAACAACCAGCACTCAGGCATGAACACTGACCACTTCTTTTATTACAATGTTTATTTGTAATAAATCCAGTATTTGTGCTCCATTAGTTTAATTTGTTCCCGATTTCATTACAAATGTGGGTACAGGCATGTTATTTATTATACGTCCTCAAATTCCAGAAGAAGTGATTTTCAGAATTAAGCAGGAAAAAGAATAAATAAATGGAGCGCTCCGTTACTAACATTTTCCATATTTAAGAAATTTAATACGAGAACCGAATTCCCTAAAGAGAAGAGAAAAACAGATTACTATCGCAGGGCAAGTGGGCATATTGTTCCACAATCTCTTATCTTCCTGCCGAGGTCTTCTCCGTTCCCGCTCACCACCACCACCGCCTGCTAGTTTCCCCTCCCTGTCGCCAGGATTCAAAGTGTTCTGTGACATTTTTCAACAGAGCAACTTTCGTCCCCTCACCCACTCCCTATTCCGATACCTTTCCATTCAACATAGCAATGCCACATTTCTCTGCCAAGAAGTAAAAAATAACTAGCAATAATGTGATGCATAACTCACATAGCTCACACTCCCTGCTCAGATTCTCACCAGGCTTCCATGCGCCTGGAATACAGCCTCTCCCCCTTACTAATATTGATGTTTTCCAGAAGTTAGCCTCTGCCTAACTTCCATCCTTGTGTATTCCTGCTGTCTGAATACATAATATTCCTTTCAACACAACTTCTCTTTATTTTCCTATAGACATTGCAAATTGTATCAACTCCGAATGTTTTCTCCAGCAATGAGCCCTGTGTAACCTGCCTATTCTATTTTCTTTTGCACTTGTTCTTGTTAATCTTCAGCCCAGGACAATTTTTCCCCCCATTGATTTCTAGACTGAGTGCAAGGGAGGGAGGGGGAGAGAGACGGAGAGAGAAACCTCGGTGGGAGAGAGACACATGGATTAGTTGGCTCCTGCATGTGCCCAGGCCGGGCCTGGCGACCGAACCCGCAAACCAGGCATATGCCCTTGACTGGGAATCTAACCCGCACCCTGTCTGTCTACAAGCTGATGCTCTAACCACTCAGGCACACCAGCCAGGGATGCATGTTTTTGTTCTTGTAAAGCCTTTAACTTTTTCTTCTTTTGAGAGACTCCCCACCCTAATCCCTACATCAAGCTCACCTTTAATATCTATCTGCTTGCGTGGATCAGGGTTATAAACGGAGCTGCTTGAAGGAGCCAAGCTGGTGAGATGAGTAAGTGAAGAGGGCCCCCTTCCCTTCCGTGGAGAGAGTGGTTCTCTAGCTGCCTGCGATGCCCGAGCTCCATGCGGATGGGCGGCTTCCCTGAAGCAACTGCTGCTTAATTCCAACGTGCAAACCCCTGGCTCACTATTAGTATAATGTTTGACTTTTCAAAATTAAGTCGTTCATCTGTATTTTCAGGTAAAGTTTGATCTCTGAAACGCTGTCAACCAATCTAAAACTTTCTAAAATACTGTTTTGGTTGAATAAAGCCACTGCTGTTCTCTGAGTTTTCCTATGCATGTATTCTTTTTGCTAAATAAAACACAAACTTCTGAAGGGTCTAGCATCTGTTTTATACAATTCTCCGTTTTCTTGGTAGCTATGATCGGGGCCCTACACTGAATAGGTTTGGGGGCCTGTAAGGATAGTGACAATAATTCTGTATCAATTCTAGCGAAGACTTGCACTCCTCGGTTTTCTTTTCTCAAAGGATTTATGCTATTCACACATGGTGGGTCTCTCTCAGGATTGTGAGTCCAATTTACCAGGATTTTTCTTGAAAGTACTGCTAAAAGCAGAGTTGTGGGAATTACTCCCCTCCTTCCATCATTCATCCATCTTTCTTTGAAACCAATGATAGAAACTTGGTTCATTCACATTGTTCAGTTCCTAGCCTTTTCCTCTAAAGGACATTTCAATCGTCCTGTGAGTTTAGCGTTTGCTCTGAAGATGAGCACACTTCTCCTTGCTGGACTCGCTTCTAAGCCCGTTCCCTTGGGCGCTCAGCAGTAATCCTCATGGGATGGGGACATGATGCTGGAAGCCAATGTGGATTCTTTTCAAAGGAAGGTGTGCATGAAAGGGTTAATTAACTCCCAGACTTGGGATGCGCACATTAGTCCCAGGGAAATAACTTAAAAACCCTTGTTATATCATGTCCCATAAGAGTGTCTTTGTAACCCAGGGTCGTAGGCCATGCCGGATAGTTTATGCTCAGGTGAATGCCTGTGGTCCTGGGCCACTCTGCAGCCATTCGACCTCTTTTTGGGGGGGAGGAAGGCTGGAGACTAAGTAGCTGTCAGTCATGCAGGTGCTGCATGCCTTGGCGACTGGCCCCCAATATATAATCCAGACACCAAGACTTTGGTGAACTTCCCAGGTTGGTAGTGCTATTTATCTATTGTCACACATCGTAGCTGGGAGAATTCGCTCTGCTGTGGGAACCCACTGGGAGAGGACCACTGGAAGCTTGTACCTGACTTCGCCCAGAGTGCACCCTGTGAGCTTTCTGCTTTTGCTGCTTTTAACCTGTATCCTTTCACTGTAATGAACCGCTTCCATGTGTATAACAGCTTTTCTGAGTTCTGTGAGGCCCCCTAGTAAATCATCAGACCTGCAGGAGGTCTTGGGGACTCCCAACACAGAAGATCTCATAGTCATGGAGAGATACTGACAAGACACAGAGCTGGTTTGTAAAAACAATTTCTAATGGAGTTGAACTGAATCACAAGGGAAATTATTAATTTTTAATCTAAATTTCCTATTGAATTTATTTGAAAGTCAACAAATTATTATTAAAAGTCAACTGTCAATTTTTACCACATAACTACTTCGTTACTCATATGTATATTTTCACCTGTATCTGTGTCCGCATCTGAATCCATTTATATCTACCAAACACCAATTATAGGCATCAGTCATAGGTATGTTGATGTGAGTTGTTACAGATAACCAAGTAATTTTTAAAAATTGGATTTCTATTGCCCTAACTGGTGTGTCTCAGTGGTTAGAGCATCAGCCTGAGCACCGAAGAGTTACGGGTTTGATTCCTAGTCAAGGCCATGTACCTCAGTTGCAGGTTTGATCCCTGGCCATGGTTGGGGCTCGTGCAGGAGGCAACCAATAGATGCATCTCTCTCACATTGATGTTTCTCTCTCTCTTTCCCCTGCCTNGCCTCGGTTGCAGGTTTGATCCTTGGCCATGGTTGGGGCTCGTGCAGAAGGCAACCAATAGATGCATCTCTCTCACATTGATGTTTCTCTCTCTCTTTCCCCTGCCTTCCACTCTCTCTCTCTCAAAAAAATTTGCATTTCTATTCAAGTTTGAATATAGACTATCTACTAAAATCTCTAAGCAATTCAATGAAAAATCATGTAAGAGTTTCTTTTTTTATTGAGTCAACTTTGAATGTTCACTACATTTTTTAAAAAAGAAATCACTATATATGTAGTCTGTCTGCAATCTTTTGTGAATATGGTGGCTGTTGAAAAAAAATCCCATACATTAGTAAATCCAGTTCCTTGGCTAAGATTACTTAACATTTCCTCAAAGAAACAGAGAGAAAAAATAATGACATTTTAACTTGAACTTACCACTGAGCAAGACAAAAGTAACACTCATTCTGGAAAGAATTGCCACTTGTAGTACAAACCGTGGCAAATATCTGAGGGCATTCTGGTTCCTGTGGTATATAACTGGAATCCACCGGGAAGTACAGTTCACATGGGGGCTGCAAATATAGAATATCATATAGATAACAACGGATACATCCCCCCCATTTATTCCTGTCCTGACACTACTGCCTCACATAGAAATGACATCAAATATTACTAGTTGGTTGATCTTTTTTAAGGATTTTTTCTGCTCTGGGCTTTGGTGAGGTAGGATTTTTTTTCTGACTGCAAGTGTCTTCACCCATCCCATCATCTCTTCAAGTATGAGCATTATAACATTTCAGCTTCAATCCAAATGCAAAGTTTTCATTTAACCTCAGAGTCCCAATGCCAGAAACTCACTATAAGGAGTATGTGAACTAGAGGACAGGGTGAGGGCCTGTCAGAAAGACTCAGATACAGAGAGCAGGCTGATGGTTTCCAGAGGGGAGGGGGAAGGGTTTGGGGGGACCTGGGTAAAAGAGGTGAAGGGATTAAGAGGGACAAATCGGTGGTTACAAAACAGTCACAGGATGTAAAGTTCATCATAGGGAACATAGTCAATAATAGTCTAATAACTATGCACGGTGCCGGTGGGTACTTGAAACATCAGAGTGATCAGGTTGTAAATTATATGGTTGTATAACCACTATGCTGTGCACCCGAAACTAATATAAAATAATACTGAATGTCAACAGTAATTAAAAAAAAGATTTAGGGCTCATATTGAGACCGAGAATAAATCTTGTATATACCACTGCTTAACCCTGTGACCTCGAACAAGTGACAGGTATGGTTTCATTTAAAGCTCAGAGGTATATTTTCCTATTATCATGAACTACCTGAGAGTAAGTCTAAGTCTGAAGAGGTTAAGATGCATGTCCGAGGTCACACAGAAAGCTGTCCATTCTACTCTACCACTGTGAAGTTTTAGGTTTCTCGTGTCAAGAGAGTGGTCAGATTAGAATCAGAATTGAGAACTGAGAAATTTAAATTTACCGGAGGCCATTTAGCGGGGTCCTGTGGTTTCAGTCCTGCAAATAAAGACACAATAGGTTAAAGAAAAAATCGTTTTCCATGGTTTCACCTATGGAAGCTACTAACTGAGTGAAGAAACATAACTTACTTACTCATTTACACAAAATTCTACAACAGAATTCGTGAGTGGCAACTACTTTATCTATTTATTTATTTGTTCTTTGATTTTTCACAGTCCTGGCTTCATTTGTAAATTTGCTGTGCCACTGAGAAAAAAGTAAAAAGCCTTCAGGGTTTTTGCATACTGTGCAAAACATGTTATTTTCGTTACTCGACTTGGCTTTTGTTGACTGCAGTTTCCTTTTCACTACAATGGGATAGGTATGCGCATTTCAAAGACAGCAATAAAAGGTCAACGTGACACCGTAAAGAAAGTACTAGGCCTACTTCCTCCCAAGAGGCTGAACTAAAGGTGACAGGGAATAGAAAACTCAGGTGTCCCTTGGCAACAGGGTGAATGAGGGACACGGTGAACTGGTTCGGGTGAGGGGTGCCGGCGTTGCCTGGGGACAGAGGATGACCCGCTGGCCGTGGGAGAGTGAAATAAAGACCTGCTGTAGTCCTGCTCTTCTTTATCTTTCAGCACCCGATGAGGGTATTTAAAACATCCAAGAATAAGTGTTTCCAAGGAGAGTATTATGCTAAGCGAAATAAGTCAAACAGGACAGGACGAGAACCTGAGTTTACTCACATGTGGGCTATCGAACAACGAAAGAACAGAGGGAAACACACTCAACAGGCATCGATCTATAGCATGCTGTTGATTATGTAAGAAAGTGGGAGGAGTAACAAAATGTACACATATGTATTCACTTGAGCCAAAGGAAACACTGAGAAGATAAAGTAGAAACTAATGAGACTGGGTACAAATAGGATGATCCTATGCGTACAACTGGTGCACCTCCGGCGGGACTGCAGAAGGAAAAGGGTATGGAGGCAATGACGCGTTTGAACCTGAACTTTAGTTCATTTTTTTTTTTTCACTTTCCTTATGTTCAAACTAACTTTGAATTGCCCCTCTGATTTCCCTTGGCCCGAGAGTTATGCAGAGGCATGCTGCTTAGCTTTCAGAGAGTGNTGCGTTTGAACCTAAACTTTAGTTCATTTTTTTTTTTTTTTTCACTTTCCTTATGTTCAAACTAACTTTGAATTGCCCCTCTGATTTCCCTTGGCCCGAGAGTTATGCAGAGGCATGCTGCTTAGCTTTCAGAGAGTGATGTTTCTAATAATGATGCCCAATTGATGCAATAATGAAGCCCAAAGGCCCGTGTTTCAGCCAAACATGTTCCACCTAGTCATATTACTCTTTTTCTTCCCTAAAACTCAAAGAAAATCAGATGTCCCTCTCCCAAGACCACACATTTGCTTACCTGAAAAAACATTAGGTGCCCAAGTGGAAAACAGCAGGAAAAATAGTATCACGCGAGGAAGGGCAGCCATGCGATCTCACCTAATGTCCTGCGTGGGCGAGGCCTGTGAAAATGCTCGAGAGTTCATTCCTGAGCCCTGGAGCAGCTGGCTTTACAAACAGGAGCAAACCCCCCACCCTGAGGGCGAGCCATTGCCACACCCTTGGCCACGGTCGTCACGCCCAGGCCTGGTCTCCTCCCAGAAGGCCCTTGGCAAGTGGATAGAGGTGAAGAGACCTTACCTGAGTAAGGCTGCTGGCAAATGTTAGCGTGCGGCGGCCGCTCCGGGTCACGGCTGGCGTGGGCAGGGTTGCTGCGGCCAGGAACGCCTGAGGCTCCTTCCGCGCCTGTTCCTTCTGCCTGCTCCGAGGCTTCACGCTCCAGCAGGCCCGACAGGGCTTCTTATAGAGGGAAGGGCACATAGTAACAGAGCCGCGCCTGCTTACTGATTATTCACGTTACTAACTCTAGAGAGGAGGCTTTCTTGCAGACCCTGGGAATCTGGGGGATGTGCTGCACGAAGAACAGGGCTGTAAAAAGAAATACATTTTAAAAGCGGACCGAGGACAGGACATGCTTTGACTTGGTTGCTGTGCCTGGACCCTGACCCCTCTCTGGGAGTTTGTCTCAGGGACACTGACCGTCCTCCGGGCCCGGAGCGGGCTGAGCTCTTTGTAACATCGTAGATTAGCCGCCCGGTTATCAGACTCCAGGCTCCTGAAGGCCAGGCCGCAGGCCCTACGCCCCCTTTCCCCAGAGCAGAATTTCCAGGGTGACCAGCTGGTTTTCCCATATTGCCGGGGTTATTGGAATAAACGCTCAGACATGACTCAATCCTGTCTCTGCTTAATTTGGCCCCGGTAGTGACAGGCGGCCTCTTACCCGGTGTGGCCAGTATCAGTTGTGGATCATAAGAACACGAAGAACTTGCATCCTAAATATCTGATGACATTTGCAAATCAGATTACCTACCACCTTCCAGATGACGCGATGAATTTTCCTGCTGAATTCAACACTGGTTCCAGTCTCCGCCATCTCCTTGCTCCCCCGCAGATCACTCGGTCTATCCTGCTTTTCAGAAGGTTTACCTGCTTTATCTTTCTAGGGTATGATTTCTGACATTAGCCTGGGACACTCCGGCACCACAACTAATATTCTGGGACTCTGCGGTCCTGCCATCACCGCCTGAGCCCTCTAGGCTACTAAAGGAGCCTCTTATTTAATGTCATGTTGCCTCCTAGGTCATCCATCTCCAGATCATTTCTTTTCACTCAATTTTTTCAACTATCTGACCTCCCCTCCCCTATCTTACTTTTTTTTTTTTTTAATGTTTTTATTGATTTCAGAGAGAGGAAGGGAGAGGGAGAGAGAGATAGAAACCTCAGTGATGAGAGTCGTTGATTGGCTGCCTCCTGCACGCGCCCTACAGGGCATCGAGCCTGAAACCTGGGCAAGGGAATCGAACCATGACCTCCTGGTTCATAGGTCGATGCTCAACTGCTGAGCCACACCAGCCGGGCCTCCTCTACCTTACTTGTGTAGAAAAACTTCACCTCTTCTTTACTGATGAGGGAAGCCTCAGGATGAACAGCCTCACTTTTTTCTGCCTTTGCCTTATAATTCTGGAAATTTTTTGCATGTACCTTATTTTTTATCTTCTGCATATCAATTCCTCTAGAGATCTCCATGTTAATCCATCTCTTTCTTCCTGCCAGTACCTGGCTATAGGGTTGACATTCCTCATCACATTTATTCCTTACGATGATCCCATGAGGTTTATACCACCCTGAAACTTGTAGAGAACAGAAAGAAAATGAAGCTTATACTTTATTTGCTGACACTAACTGGCTAGTAACGAAGCTAGTAAAGGGCAGAGATGGGATTCACACACACGTTTAACTCCAAAGCCCATGTCCACTTATTTTCTCTACGTTTCCTCTCATTTTGGGGAACAAAGTTCCCTTCCTTTAGCTTATTAGCCATCAGTCTTCCTGGGCCAATACACCACGAATGTCTTCTGTGAAGCCCTATGCTTTTCTTGGCTAGCATCTTTGATTTTTGCTTCTTTCCAAAGCCAGTACTTTTAATCTCTCTACAATACTGCCTCCTAGGTAATTCTGTTGTATGCTCTATGAAGGAAAAGACCCAATCTATACCCAATTTTAACCTTGTAAATGCAGTGCATTGCAAATTTTTTAACTACTTGATAGGTATTCAGAAATATGTACAAAAGGAAGAAACAAAGGAATCCATTCATCTTTTTTTTTTTTACTGTTGTATATTCTTGAAAATGTGTTTTTACCAGTTTATTGGCTTGAATTTTGTCCTTTTGGGATGCTTCTTGTTTGTGGATGGCTTACAGCTTAGGAATCTTAAGAAAAACCTGAAGATCCTCCTAGTCACCCCTTGTCACCCCTGGCTGTGGCCAGAGGAAGAGGCTGGGGTCCCACCATCAGGATTCCCACCTTAGAGGCAATTTTCATGGGTGGCTCCACCACTGCTGCTGGTGCTGCTGCTGAGGGTGGTGAGGGAGCCCCGAGAGCCATGCTGGAGGGCTAGGCTGGAGGTGGCAGTCCTTGACTCTAGGCTGCCTGGGGGAATGGTCATCTTCGCATCATCAGGGTGCTGGAAGGAGAAGAGAGATAGAAATTGAAAACCTATTTGAAAAAATAATGACAGAAAACTTCCCTCACCTGGTGAATAAAATAGACTTACAAGTCCAGGAAGCACAGAGAGTCCCAAACAAGAGGAACCCAAAGAGGCCCACAGCAAAACACATCATAATGAAAATGCCAAAGGTTAAAGACAAAGAGAGAACCTTAAAAGCAGCAAGGGAAAGACAGTTAGTTACCTACAAGGGAGCACCCATAGGACTGTCAGCTGATTTCTCAACAGAAACCTTGCAGGCCAGAAGGGAGTGGCAAGAAATATTCAAAGTGATGAAAACAAGGACCTACAACCAAGATGACTCTACCCAGCAAAGCTATTATTTAGAATTGAAGGTCAGGTAAAGAGCTTCTCAGACAAGGAAATGCTAAAGGAGTTCATCACCACCAAACCAGTTTTGTACGAAATGTTGAAGTATCTTCTTTAGGAAGAAGAAGAAAAAAGATAAAAAATTAAACAATAAAGTGGCAATAAATACTTATCTATCAACAAGTGAATCTAAAAACAAAATAAATGAACAAGCAGAACAGAAACAGGCTCATATACAGAGAACGTTTTGATGGTTGCCAGGTGGGAGGAGGGTTGGGGGTGTGTGTGAAAAACGTGAAGGGATTAAGAAGTACAAATGGGTAGTTACAGAATAGTCATCTGCATGTAAAGTGCAGCACAGGGAGTCTAGTCAATAATATTCTAGTAACTATGCATCGTGACAGATGGGTACCAGATTTATCTAGATGACCACTTAGTAAATTATGTAATGTCTAATCCCTGAGGAGTAGACCTGAAACTAATATAATATTGTATGTCAACTGTAATCGAACGATAAAAAACAATTTAAAAGAAAGAAAAAAATTTTAAGTGATACCAATCAATAAAGGTGGGGGGGGGGGGAGACAAGAAAAATAAATAAAATAATGTATTCTGTTGTCTCTGAGAGGTTTGAGATTCTCTGTCTTAAAGTTTCTTCTTAAGGTGGGATTATCAACAAAAACCCACATGGAAATAGAAAGCAAGTGTTCACAATAAAGAGAATGGCCCCAAAGGCCTGAGTCTTAAGAGGCAGATTTTCCTGGGGGAAGATTGAAAAATGCTCCCGAGGTACAGTCTGAGCAGTAGATGCCGGCTGCCCATCTGGAGACAAAGATACGAGGAGGGAAAATAGGTAGAGGGTAGGCAGGGTGACAGGCAAAGGGGGGAGTGTGGCTGGAAAGTGAGGGACCTTCCAAGGTTTCTTTTTTTAGTAAACCTGTTTCCCAAGTATCAGCTGATCTCTGGGATACAGCATCCCCATCACTATATCGTGATTGTCTAACTGCTATGCTACACACCTGAAACTAATACAAAATGATCTTTAATGCAAACTGTAATAAAATTAAGAAAAACTACTTACCACAGGTAAACAAACACCAAAGTAATCTGAAGGAGGAAAGAGTTAAGTCCACGTATAAAAGGACATCACTTGGATAAGAATGTTCTTTTCTGCAGAAGGGAAGCATTTCTATGGAAACTTCCCAGCTATTTTCTCCTGTTAAAAGCAGAGTCCTCATCTGACATTTTACTTATATGAAAGCCCAGAAATGTTTGAAATTATTTTATGGTTGGACTCATGTTGTCAGGACCAAATATCATGAAGGAAGGCATTTGGAAAGTTTTGTGAGTAATTTGAGAAGCATGAGCAAACATGTAATGGGTGACAAGTAAAACGGCTTTTCAAATAAAAGAGTCTTAAGAAGAAACCATCAGGTACCTGAGAAGGAAGATTAGTGAAACCCTGTCTTTGGGATTCTGATGAGGCTAATCAATTAAAAATAAATTGATCTGGCTGAGAAATCGTTATTTTAATCCTTATGTTGATTTTCTTATGTCATCGTAATCCTTCTTTGCCACAGATTTCCCACGCAAATTTGAGAACATCTCTTTTGTATGAAAAACATAATAGACTGTCAACAGTATGCTTTTTTTTTCTGCCATAGCAAAATTTTATGTGTTAAGAATTGCTTATTGAAAGACATGAAAATTTTACATAGGCTTCAATTCCAGTCTCATTTAATTGCTTTAAGAAATGATAGAATTATGTGAAAATATTGAGGAAAGTTGAGCTTTCAAAAAATCCCCAGAAATAAAGACAAATTAAAAGTTACTGAAGTAGGAGGCAACCCATCACAGTTTCTATTTTTTTTCTTAATAATAAGTTTAATTATAAGTTTTCTCGGTGACTTTTAGAAGGAAATAAAAAAATGGAAAAAACGACAGAGTTTTTGAGAATGAACACTTGATCTGAGCAGATGTGCACGCACGCGCGTGTGAGGGGCTGGGCGGGGGGAGTGTGCTCACTCGGCCCAGTCGGTGTAAAGGCAACTGGCCCTGACTGCGATGCTGCGAGAGACTTGCTGCCCCCACCCCCCTCCAGGCTGCCTACACCAGCTCCGGACCTCCTCCAATTTGTGGGGTATGGATGGTGGGCAGAGATTCCCAAGGGAGAAAACAGTCACCACCTTATATGCCACTGAACAGCCAATTTCTTAACACGTTTCCTTGGGACAGAACCCATGTTTTGCTGACATGACCAGGAACCTCTTTTCCATAAGGCTGGAGT